GGGGGGTGATCGGCGGTTGTCGACAACCATCGGCGGTGGTTGACTGCGGCAGGAGTGATGTTGGACTTCAGCTCTTACTCAAGGCTTCAGGCTCTTCCTCAAGCCTCAAGCTCCTCTTCTCATGAGAAGAGTAAGACTCTATTTATAGTGTTCTGGGTGCAATTAATGCAAGAATATGAACCATCTTGATTGGACGTTTCGGAGAGCTTTCTTTGATCAGATAGCGTTTAATGGAAATTTGAATGCCTTAACGATGTTGAAATTGAGCAATCTTGGGCATGTTGGATTCCTCTTGTCGAGATGCTCGATTCTACTATAAGCTTTCTAGATTCAACATTCATTTAAACTTCTAAATATGTCCAAAAAACTTTCAAGCGTGATTTAATGACTTGATCCGAGCTATATTTGACTTGGATTGGACTATTTTTCGTAGCATTGGGTTTCTTCCAGTCGAGTGTCAGTTTGACTGTAGGTTTGTTGAAATCAGGATTCTAGAAGAGTTTTTATCAAAATTTGAATATTTCTTGCTAAAAAAGTCACCATGAGAACTATGTCATGCCTAGAGATTCGTGTCGGATGATGAAACTTTGTTGGAGACATATCAGTATTTCCCTTTATTTTCAGGCGAGACCAAATTCGTTGTTTGAAAATATCCAGATTTAGAGCTTTTTCATTTTTGTCCGACATAAGTGTGCGTGTATATTAAAACTTTATTACTATAACTATTTAAATAAGAATATTATAAATGTATGTATGTTAAAGCAACTGAGCTTTGCACAGTCGATGTCTTTTGCCTCACGCCACCTGGGAATGGCCCAAATGGAGGCCCAAATGATATTGAGTATATTTTGGGTGCTACGACACCCAAAACTGGGTGCGAGAATTCAAACAGATTTAGCCAAAAAAAATGTGGAATTTGAGTATATTTTGGGACTCAAATGATGAAATTTGAGTAGACATATATATATTTATTTTGTTAAAATAGCTTTTTTTTTAATAGGCTGCTCTTTTTTTTTAATGAGATGCAGATTTTTTTTTAATAAGCTATTGTTTTAAAAAAATAATAATAACGGAATTTGAAAGATTAAGAATTGAAAATATAAAAAAGATTTTCATCTTTTTTTTTATTTAAAATGAAAAAATTGGAAGGCAATAAGGAAGAAGCCAAAAGGCCAAAAGCTAGAAGATAGAGGCTAAATGACAAAAAATTAAGGTAGATTTCAGTTTTTTTTTTTTTAGTTCAATTGATTTTAATGTTATGGCTCATCTCAAGCCTATAAATAAAGGCCACAGATGAGGGGAAGAATCATAAGAGGAAATTCATCTTCGTCCTACGTAGCAGGCAAGCAACGAGATCTTCTTTCACGTTTTGGTGAAGAAGAAAGTCGTCCCGTCCTGTGTTGTAGGAGATCAATGAGATTTTCTTTCGTGTTGCGGCAAAGAGAAAAATTGTCTCTGTCATGTGAGCAGACGAGCAACTGGATCTTCTTTCGTGTTACGGTCAAGAGGAATGTTGTCCACATCAATAAAATTATAATTATCGTAATTAAGAGGTGGAATGTATCCTGTCCATGTCATGCTATCCATGCATAAGATGAACGACCATATGGCTAAATAGCTTGAGGTGATATGCTTAGAAAACTTGGACAAATGGTAAAACTGATACGACATGTTACTCAACGTGACAGACATAACCAACTGAAGTAGTCAAGACAAAGATATGGTTATATGACCAGAATGGTCTAACCATATGAGTGCTTCCACGAGAACTAACGAGATGAATCTTGATGGAAATTCTTCCATTTAATGGACTAACTCTTGCGGGAGAGAAATCGAGTGTCTCGATGCCGACATGTGTCAGCTAGCCGACTGACTCAATATATCATTCGACGGGCGGACAAAACAAACAAAGTCGATGGGGTTATATGACCTAGGTCGGTCTAACCACCAGGGTGCTTCAAGTAGCACTAGAGAGGAAGCTCTCATTGGGGATTCTCCCAATATTTAACAAGGTAGCTCTTGCTGGGGAGGTGTCGATGTCTCAATGTAAACATGGGTCAGTTACC